ATGTACACCTCAAAGAAAACTTCACATGTTGATCCATTCAAATGAGATTCCATTGTTAACGTAAAAAGCGAATTCGATTAGAAACGCTGCATTGTCTTTCTTTTATTAATCTCTGTTAATTATCTAGAGGGTCCATGATCTTTTAAGGTTATGTGTATTAGGCTTGAAATTAGTAATAGCAGTACCATATATTGCGAATAGTGCGTGTACAGGATATTTATTAAATATGGTATTTTTAACGAGGTTATTAAGTATGTTACCGTTGATACTTTTTTTGGCATTTCCTTTATCGAATTTACTATATTTGAGAATAGAAAAATAATGATCCAATAACTACTGAACAAATTTATCTGCGTATTGTAGTGTGACAATTGCATGCCTTAAGCGTAATGCGCCTAAAAATCAAGAAAACAATTTTTTGTTGCATGAAATCGTATCTAACAATCATATTGAACATATAAATCATATAAGAGCACATTGTCAAAAAGATAAATGATTGTTGAACTTTTTTAAATTGATTAATTTAAAGTAAATTGTGTTATGGTGTAGAATGTAGATTTATCAACCCGCATGGAGGGCTAAACACGATAACTTTTGAAAATATCAATCTAGTTTTTAATCTCTTCAGCTATCATGTAGGAAGCCATAGATAAATAAAGCCAAGCCGTAGATAAATCAGAGTTAGCAACCCTTCCCCTTTCAACATGGAAGACCGCACACTTATCCGTTCCCAGCTCCATTCTAGACTTGCTAAAATCACAAGTGATGTTTAGCAATTCATTAGTATAATATTCATTTAGATGGCCCATCGCATGCGGCGTACTCCACCAGTGGCGGGTGGCGATTGCTGGGCCTGCGAAGATCCTGCTGACACCAAGCAAGCTGGTGGGGATGAATGGGTATGCGAGGGACTGCTGGGTGGTCGTGCAGCACCTTGCGCTTGGCTAGCAGTTTGCATGCTGTCGCGTCCAGCGCCAGCTCCAGACGCGCCTTGGCGACCTCCAGGCAGCGGCCCTTTGCACGTTCTTCTATATTCCATCATCCATAGCGGGCGTCATTTAACGGGAGACGCCCATACCCGGCGCCGTTTCATGGTGAGGCCATATACACAAGCGGGCCTTTGCACCTTCAATTTTTGCCGAGACACGGCATTCACACCTCTTGACAAGGTGCTAAATGACTGCGCTGATGTAGCAGTTTTCTCACATAACCGTCACGTCAGCGGGCGATGGGGTCGTCACTTCCCTACGCCGTATTATTATAATCACAGGTTATCGTTACAATATATTATTTCGCTAGAAGTAGGTAGGCTTTATATATAAATATCTTGGACTTTATGGATTGACTTGAAGGTGTTCTTCGGTGTCTGCTACTGGAACTCCTTGAAGATTAGAACTAGGTGTGCCGAGATTGGCTTCGTTTTGTTATTTATGATGAGATCTTACGTCCGGACTTGATAGAGTGACCTGAAGGTGTACTTTGGTGAATGCTCAATTAAAATACTGGTGATGACTAGATAAAAAACTTTTTGAAAACGAAATAAAGTAGATGAGAAAAAGGAATTATTAACGAGTAGGGTAAAAAAGACTTTTACCTAACTCGTTAATAATTATTTTTATTATCCTTTCTTTTTTATTATCTTTTCTTTCTTTTTACTATTCTTTTCTAGAGCCACGCTGCAGCTATATTATAGTTAGCACGAATGGGTCGGCTCGGCCGGAGAAGGACCTCGCTCTCACAGAATACCAGCGTAAAATAGCAGCTTAATGCTGTTGTGTTTCATATAGTGAGTGTAGAGAACCGGAGACCATTTTTACTGGAAACGAGGCATTCCATCTTAGTCCTCACGGGGGACAACGCATCTGCATTTTATTTGAGGATAGATGTAGATGTCTATGGGCCACAGCAACCACTTACCATCAGGTGAACTGTGTGCTCCTTTGTCACCCTATCCTAAAAAAGACTAGTTTTTACGATAATACCTGAGTACAAATACCAAAAATTAATGTAATATTAAAGTTGATTTCCTATCTTTTTAGGAATAACAACAAATAGGAATAAAAAAAAAGAAAATAACAAAAATAAATGTTTTCTATTGTGGATTGAGAATTTTTTACGATCATATGAGCTACGTGAGTGGTGCACTTTTGGATTTTCCAAACATTTTTTTATTGACGTTTGACATAAAATTATCAGAAAATTAGAAGTAATAATAGTAAGGTTATTTGTGAATACTTGTGTGTATTTAAAATACTATAAAAATTGACGTATATATGAGAGCTTAAAGCATGCATGCACATTTGGATTTACCAAAAGTTTTTTTAATAATTTGAATACGCAAAAAAAACATGTAGGCTATTGCGGTTAAATACAATGTTAAATGACGAGTATATACAACAACTTTATCACAAAGCATCTAAAACATAGCTTAAATATCGTATGTCACAACCTCACAACAACTTAACAATGTAAGATAATATGAGATAAGAGTAGGACGAAGGAAGCATACATTGAATCGTCATAATTCAATCTTTAGATAAAATGAAAATATTTTAAAATAAAATATCCTTATATCACAGTTTTATATTTATTTAATCAAATTATTAGATATTTCATTTCTTACACAAAATAAGAAAATAAATATCCTGCTTACAGTTTAAATTTTTCTGGTCTGTCATCGAAAAGTTTTACAATATATTATTATACGTTATTATGTTGCCCTTTGTCGGTCGTAAATGCATAGTCACAGACTCAGTTCTAAATTATGTCTGGGATAATTAGGTAATTACGTTTGCATGGTAGAGTCACAGTCTAACTACGGAGAGTCACGCTGCGACGTATTAAAGATGGAACTACCAATAGGTCCGTTAGATAGGGAAGTACAACGCTCACACAGGATATAAATAAGGATTCATGTAATAGTTACTGACGCTTATAATATTATATATATAATACACAATATCATAAAGTACAACACCGTCGCAACTTCAACCCCTTATCTTGTATTTTCCGCCTAGTTCATTGTCATGTCTACGTAAACTCTAGTGTAACCACACTACTTTACGCGGTAATTTAGGCAGTAATTTTATGCCATAATTATTGATGTAAACGGGCGGTAGACGGTAAGGTAGTGTGGCCGTAGCACAGGTGTTGTTTCAATTTCAATTATGGCCATAATCTTTGCATAATCACGGACGTTAGTGTGGCCGTAGCATTCAAAATGAGCAAGTGTGTGAGCTGTAACTTTATCCATTAAATTCAGTGGGCAAAAATATCCAAGCCAAAGTATTGATAAATAAATCTTGCGAAATTAGAATATATAGGTATATAATGCAGCTTCAAAAAGAACATACAATTCACATAATATTTGAAAATTTCGGACTGACTGAAAGTGTTATTAGACATTTTCAAAATCCAATATAAAAATACCACCTAATATAAAAAATTGAATCTATGGATAATTAACAAGTACAACGATAACACTGATAGTGAAAATATGTGATTTGATTCAAATTTATTATTTACTACTATTGCTACTTCTGTCACACATAACGCGCTAATTTTGATCTGACATTGAAAACAAACTCGGTGGGCACATTACGAGTATCTCTGAGGCTTTGCAGGTATATAATCAAAGCTCCTGAGGTCACGCACCAGATAAGTTTCGTTACGAGTACGACTTGTTAGTTTGTATGTTCAAATGTATAATCTTTTTTGAATTGTGCATCTGAAAGTCATATTACTTTATTTTTTAAACTAAAATAAAATTATACAGTAAGTAAATCACGTAAAAAAATGTTTGGTTAAATGTACCGATTCTTTACATGGACGTATAAAAAAAGGAGGTATGTAAAAAATAAATTAATATTTTGTCAAGGTTATGTTATATTTTGACACATTGTTTTATAAAAAAAATGGGGCAATTTTGTTTCACATGACAACCCTTTATAGCACGCAAACATACTTGCAGTGCATCAGTCCTTTCTTAACAAAATTCAGTCCGCCTTTTTTTATATGTCCATGATTCTTAATTCTTAAAAAAATCTTATTAGAAATTATTTTCTGTTGTATTGTACGCGGCCTTGTAGCGAATTTAGAATATTTAAATAAAACTTGCTTTTATCGTTACTGCTTCTCACAAATCTACTGTTGAACACAGATCTCCCCACAGTATGCTACAAAACTGGAGCCACCGGCATCCGTCAACTCCCTTTATGATTAATCATGTCGACACATCATTTTGCCAGTATAACTGCCCTTCGAAATTTTTTCTTTCTCGTTGGTGGTCGGTTTTTCAAGTTATATAAGCAGCATCTCAAACTTCTCATCCGTTGGCCTTTGACAGTCACTTTTATTCTTCTAATTACCTACCTCGTTACGGATTTAATCGGGCTGAGAAATCCCGAACGTAACTCTGCTAAATTAAATTTAAAATTAAAGATAAAATTGATAAAAATTTAATTAAATTTTAAAAACAATTTATTAAATTAGAAAATAAGAACAAGACATTCTTAGTAACTATTTAATTATCTGCAACAAAAATTGTGTTTTAAAATGAAGGAATTTTATACAGTGACGCGTAGTAATATATCAGTATACGCCGTTATGTGTAACATAACATATAAGTAATTCAATTCACGCGCCGTGACGCTAATGGTCAACAATGCCTGCATAAATAAATGTAGAATTCACATTTTGTTATTATTTACGTCTCTTTTTACGGTCTTGCATCTCTTTTGCACACTTTAGGCGCGGGAATTCAGTCAACATCGTTTTGAGAGGGGTTTTGCGATGATACAGAATACAGATTATAATACCAGTGCTGCTATCTATTGGCTAAAAGTTGCACACAAGTTGACATTCATCGCAAACAACAAGTACTTGCTTTACTTACGAAATAGTTTGACTACTCGCTAATAGATGGCGCGTAAAGAAATTACTTTTATTTTATTTACTTTATACTTCATTTTTTTCTAATTTAATTTTCATTTTTTTTTCAGGTCTTAGTGGAATATGACGGTGTAGACTGGCAACGTCGAGAGTGGGTGGCAGTCCACTCCCGTAGGACGTTTCGTGTGTTTTTAGTGGAAAGAACTTTAGTATGGGCCCCGAAAAAGTTCGAAAACGAAGAAGTCAAATGGCCTGCTTTGGTGAGTTATTTTTTGTTTTAAATTAAATATTTAATTTGTAGAAGTCGTAATAGATATAAAAGAAAATTATATTACATAGTACAGGCCTATAATGCTAGATGGCGTTACGTGTACCAATTCTATTATTCAGTTTGTTGAGCCCTTTTCAGTCAGGCTTAGGGTTGCCACCCGTACAATAATATATAGTATGTATTATTTATACTAATATATATATATATATATATATATATATATATATATATATATATATATATATATATATATATATATATATCATTAATATAGTACGAATAATACTATTTTCGAATAAAACTAAATTTACGGTAAATTTAGTTTTATTCAATGTGTAGTGTTCGTGTAAATTTAAGAAATCGTAATACTATTTTCCCTAATTCAACTGTGATTGTAAGTCTGGAACAAGTAAGTTTTACGGAAATAATTTTATCCGTCAATTGAATATAGAATAAAGTATATAAATACAAGTATAAATGTAATAAAAAATTGATTGTTAATTTATTTTAATATGCATTTAAATTACTTAGACTCCTATAATTATTTTAAAGGTTATAGATCATTGATATCCAAAGCAAAGAATAATAACAAATATATATATATGGAAAAATACATAAAGATTAAAAATAAAAGTGTCCTTTTTTTCTCCTGAATTTCTTAAAAATACTACATTTTTGTATCTTTTTGGGAAAAATATTATATTTGTTCAAGTTTGGCTTCAGGCCCGGTCACAGTACTGTTTCCGCTCTTCAAAGGGTCACTGGTGTGTTAGGGCTGCCATGGAAGACACCAAAGTCACTGGCTTAGCTTGACTTTTCAATAGCCTTCAATAAAATTAGTCATGTCGCAATCTACTTTCTAATTTTATCCTTTCCCATTAAAGGATTTCTCCCAAAGCGCTTGATTGCTTCTCACCTTATATTTGGAAGCGTCAGCAGTCAGTCCGAATTGCTGTGACTGCATCAAGCTGGTGTGACATACATGCTGCTGTCCCTCAAGCCGTATTCTGTATTCTTTGTTATTTTCGGTATTTATTAATCATATTACCCACAACCTTCAGTGTGCGTATCATCTATATGCCGATGACCTACAGTTGTGCGCATAGGAGAATGTTGATTGCGTGTCCGCCGCGGTGGATATGGTTAAGAGAGATCTAGGAGCTGGTTTGACAGGTTTGGTTTAACCGTTAATTCATCCAAGTGTCAGGCCATAATAGTAGATAGCCATCGCATAATTAAAATATTAGACACTACATATTTACCCTCGATAATAAATAAAAATATGAATAAATTGGCAGAATTACTTCATTTGTGTTTATGTAGTTATATATATATTTTTTCATTTTTTAAAATTTATATATAATATTATGCATATTTTTAATATATAAAAATTTATGTTAGATTGTTCGTATTCTATGCGCTGCCATTACCGTTCATCAGATGGCGTTCATCAAAATTTTGACAACATATTGCTTGCACTTGCACGAAGGTTATAGGCATAGTACAATTAACTTATAGTATCACGTGCGTATCGTACCGACAAATTTATTTGAAAGTTATATATCATTCAACTTCAATGGATGTTTTACCATTCCCAATTAAACAATATAAATCTTTCAAAGTTCGAAACGATATTTTCGTAATCTGGGGGCACGGCAGTGCCTCCGTCAGTCGAGCAAAAAAGCGGCACGGCCGTACCATCCTTTTCTCGAAGCAGTTTAGGCCATTTTCGACTTGGTTGCGGATAAAACTAGAAGCCTGAATTTCCGGTAACCATGCAGGCATTGTATAAACACGGCATATATCAAATTTCAAAGTCAAAGTTGAGTTGAGACTGCAGAACAAAAGGGTCACGCTCTTTTTTTTTTTTTTTTTATAGGATAGGGTGACAAACGAGCACACAGTCCACCTAATGGTAAGTGGTTGCTGTGGCCCATAGACATCTACATCTATCCTCAATTACGAATCAAAATGCAGATGCGTTGTCACCCGTGAGGACTAAGATGGAATGCCTCGTTTCCAGTAAAAAGGGTCTCCGGTTCTCTACACTCACCATACGAAACACAGCAGCATTAAGCTACTATTTCACGCTGGTATTCTATGAGAATCTCTTGAAGAATACTAGCGTTATATATCCTTTTTACTAATAACAAGGAATTAATTTTAGCCCTCAGGGATGACTACGCGTGTGCATTTTGATTTTTAATCGAAAATAAATGAAAGTTTTTATTGGCCACAGTCACCACTTACCATCAGGTGGATTGAGTGCTCTTTTGTCACTTATTTCTATAGAAAAATCGTTCCAATGCATTATTACCATTGCAAAAAAACTGTTGGAAAGCACTGTGATGTCGTTAGGAATTTGGATCAAATGGTTAAACAATAACGCGTTTCGACTTCGAAATAGATAAATAACGTGTGTAAATGATTGATAATTAGAACGCCAGCCTCATATTATTGTAGCATCAAAGTTATTTACTTTACTCACGTGTCCTCACGACCTCTGTATGATGCGAATTTATTCGCTTTGCATGCTAGTCACGTTTCTCGTTTGTTTACTTCATAAACCATAAGACAACGTATATTTGCTTTCAGTTGAAATATGGGAATTTATGTTATGAAATAACGGTATGTAGGTGTTTTGTTACTTATTTTTTATGTTAGTAGATTTAAAAAAATGTACGGGTTAAGACAGATGCCCAGATTTTTTGATTGCGTTGACTTAGAAGCTTGATCTTTTTATACCCTCTAAGGACCGTAAGTTTTAGGTATTTGATATTAATTTTAACTTGACACCTCTACCCGTTCCTAATAAAAAGGTCAAGATACGAAGCTTGAAGATCAAACCCGCCTCGTATAAACTAGTGCAATAATGTTTCTGTATTTTATTTTTGACGAACCCAAAAAAAAAAAACGTTTGACAGACGGGTTTTTAATTTCATCAATCAGGTGTAAGATGTAATTCCTCCCCGTCTATCATTGTCCTGGGTCTCTTGCCCTTCTAAACCGGTCCCAGCAGTGGATGCACTGCAGCTTTGCGGCTTGAATAAGGGCATTATTAACCCAGACAAACTAAATAGCTATTAACTAAAATGTTGTAATTAAAAAAAACTTTTGTGGGATCAAATATCTGATTTAATGTCATGACTGTAATGTAAGATATGAATGTTAAATATCCTACATTTTACGTAGAATTTCGAAGAAGACATTTATGTGTACGTCTGATAGTATTGGAAAGGTGACTTTATAGGTGTTATTCAACCAGTGTTCCACGTGGAATACTGATGAGGCGATGATAGGTGATCGTTGTGTGCGTAAGCTGAAAATGTTCTACCAATATGTGGCCGTAAATATTGTTGCTTGTTAAATAATCACAGCCGTTCACTGAACTTTACATGCACTTCTACTTTGTAACAGGTATATTACGTACACTTCTTGTTTGTGTATTAAATGCACAAGTATCCAAAAAGTTACCATATTTTTTCTTAATTTAATGTTGAAGATATTTTAACTTATTGTAAGCTAGTGCTTGAGTACCTACAAGCACCCCTCCGTACCATCATGGCACTCCCCTTTTCCTCACCATATCCGTTGCTACACAGCACATTTTCTTTTCCACCCTACCTGGTGGTAAGCGGTGGTGAAGCCTTTTAGTGTCTACTGTTTTAAAATAATAATTACTTTTGTTGGAACGAAGTAGAAAATGAAATGGTTTTAGGAAAAGAAACCTTTTATTTAATAGTATTTTTAAAATGACAAACGAGCCAACATTCTACTTAAGTAACCATAGGCTACCACCATTGTACTAACATTTAACATTTTTTGTTTTATTTTCTCTCTCTTATTTGGGTTTTGGTGTGTGCAATAGAAATTATCTATGTATATATCTAGGCATCAGCAACTTATATAGATATTATATTTAGTGCATACGCTTTTGCTGAGAACTAGGATGGAATGCCTCACAACCTGATCGGGTGGTGACGACGCCGCACTGAACACCAGCGTAAAATAGCAGGATAATGCTACTGTTGCTATGTACGGTGAGTGACGAGCATCAAAGCCCTTTTTTTACTAATGGCGAGGCATTCCATCTTAAGTCCTAAAAGATGACTACGAATCCATATTTCGATGCTTAATCGAAAGTAGATGTAAATGTATAGCCGTTATTAGTTCAAAAAAAGTAGGTAATGGAACCTAACACAGTTAAAATAATATAAAACTCATCATATTTCCGAGAGAATTCAGGTATTCACGAAATTTTATTTTAATAATGTTCAGCCAAGAGCATTATAATGAAGCTTGCGTTCTCACGCCGGGTTGAGATTTGCGGCGTTTTGCAAATTCTCAAAACCTCTAAACTTTCTCAACCGCACCCGCCTCGAGGATGTCGTACTCGGTGAATTCTATTTCATATGCATTTTTTGCTGCATTTTCCTTCCTAAAACTTTTTACATTATTATAAATTTGTGCGCCCCTTTGTATAAATGTAATAAATGTTCTTTTTCACTTAAGTATCTCACCTCAGTTTATCCGTTAACAGTCTCTCCCAGGATAGAGACGTTTTGTGTGACTTGTCACATCTTCGCCAATGCTTGCCGTTGTTGGTCGTGGTACTTTATGTGACATGATACATACTGCCTTTCATTCGTATTCATCGGATGCCACAAGATTTTCTAAGTCACCAAGAACGACATCGATGAGATTTATTTATTTATTTATTTGGTTCACCAACAAATGTTACACTTACACTAATACATTTGCTTAATTCTAAGACAGTGATATAAACTAAGTGCACAGTCAATAATAGGTAAACACCGCATGCTTAGTGCTCACAGCATTTCCTACAAGCCTTTACATAATAGATAAAAATAGACAATACACAATTACAAAAAAAAATTTATACAAAAAAATTAGGTACTACAAAGGAATATTAATAGTTTGATAAATTTTGTATCGAAAAACGTTAAAAGAGTCGTGGTGAATATCTACTACATTATTATAAGTATTTAAAAGTCTGCAAAGTCTGGGTATTGGGGAATTAAATCCTAGTACAGATCTACGAAGGGGCGGCGAAAGAGGAGTAATGTGCTTACGAGGATATCCAATTGGGATACGATAATTAAATTTACTTAGTAATAAAGGACAATCTAACTTATTTCTAAATATTGTATATAAAAGTTGCAAATCCAGAATATCCCGGCGTTTAGACAGTGAGACCACTTTAAATGTCTTTAATCTGTCAACATATGATGCATTTTTATATGATTTTCGTGTTGAAAAGGCAAGATGCCATAAAAATATTTTCTGTATGCGCTCAAGCCGTAGGGTATGGGTAGAATAAGAATGGGGACGTCAGACTGTGCTACAATATTCTAATATACTTCTTACAATTGTCTACAATATTCTAATATACTTCTAACAGATGAGATGAGATGTAAGTCATCAATTCAGGCGCAGAACCGCCACTCCCTACAGGCGGAGCAATACGCGATGCTTGTCATCACCAGTCTAGAGACTTTTATTTGGCGTGGAAATGAAATGCTTATACAACATCTATCGATCTCTCGATCGTTCGGGCACTGCCCTGTCTCTCTTACTACACCATTCGTAAGTGAGATGTTTTTTTTTTAAATAGGATATTGTGACAAACGAGCACACAGTCCACCTGATGGTAAGTGGTTGCTGTGGCCCATAGACGTCTACATCTATCCTCGACCACGAATCAAAATGCAGATGCGTTGTTACCCGTGAGGACTAAGATGGAATGCCTCGTTTCAAGTAAAAAGGGTCTTCGGTTCTCTACATTCACCATACGAAACACAGCAGCATTAAGCTACTATATTACGCTGGTATTCTGTGAGAGCGTGGCCCTGCCCCGGTCGAGCCGACCCATTCGTGCTACAGCTCTACTACTAATATAACTGCGGCATGGGTCTACCACGTAAAGATGGTAAGGTTTGATAAATGAGCAACCATATGACGTTTATATATGACCTGTGAAGTTGAGAACTTTTTCTTATTATCAAAAGTAGGAGGCGGGGAGGACAGGTGTACAAACTGAACGTGTATAAAGTTTTATTGTGATATTAAAAACAAAAACAGAATTTATGGTTTTTCGTACCTTGTAAGTCAACTTATTTGTTTATTTATCCAAAAGATCACTGCACAGAAATAAGGTCAAGGGAGAGTAATTACACTGTCTTGCGACTGGTAAGGATGCAAAGGTCGCCAAAACCATTATGGATGTCTCAATATACCTTCATTATGAGTGGTTGAGGCCTCGATCGCTGACGGCACACACTATATAATATGAAATATTATTAAATTTACAGATAATATTTAGTGCAAGAAATTAATATATTATTTTCTTTGTAAAAGGCTTGTTGTTAAAACCAGAAATAGAAAAAAAGGAGAAATATTAATGTATTGTTATTCGGCAGACATTCACGGCACTATCTGCCGACGTGACACTGCAGGCGGACGCCCAGCCCGTGGAGTTTCTTCATGACCGGACGCTCCAATTTCTGGACTACGCCAACCTTCAACCATATCAGGTGAGATTTAAATTGAAATAGTTGTTACTACAACTATGGTATGTGTGACCCGCGATTATTTATATATCTATTTTATATATCATATATCCAAACTAGCAAGCAGACAGCTTATGCTGCAGAATAGATCAGAGGTGTCACTAGTGTCAAGACAGCTAAATTAGTTTATTCCAGTTATTTCCATAGCATAATGTCTTATGGGATTTTGCTATGAGGAAATGCGGCTGACTTAGAAACTATTTTAGTTTTTCAGAAGAGAGCCATAAGAGCCACTACAATCTAAAACCGAGAGAGTCTCTTAGAGAAAGTTGTAAAGAAATAAATGTATTGAGTTTGTTCTCTCAGTATATTTACGAAAATTTGATTTATTTCCTTAAAACAAAGGTAGTTTTAGTAAATACCGTACACCGTAAACACCAGGAACAAACTCTACTCCACAGAGTCAGTAATTCATTCATTGGGCAATGTATACGCTATTACGAGTCCTAGAAAATATACAAGGTCTTTCTATTACCAAGTTTAAATATTTTCATAAACAAAAACTGTATAAAAAGAGTTTTTGTAATATAAATGAATACATGGTTGATAATAATCCCTGAGAACGACGTGGTCTCTTCCAAGCTGTTTCTAAAATAAATTTTGTAAATAGATTGTGTACAACCTTTCATATTGTAAAATTTACTTTAGAAAAAAAGGCCCCGCTGCGTTTCTTGCTCGTTCTTCCCACGACAGAGGCTTTTTTCCGAACCAGTGGTTAAGTAAAAAATGACTCAAGAAGTACATATACGAATAAAAATATTCTATTTTATTATATTTATGTCAACATTATACCACAAAAATTACACTAAAATAATAAACCTTAAGTACTTACCTCAATAAGTACTGTTCATTCTACAGAAAGGAAATATTAAACTACTCTTTAAATTTTGATACTAACATGCAAAAGACAGGACAGACAGACAGTTTTCATAAACCACTAATAAAAAATACTCCTACTTATATAGTTGTAGTAACTTATCTTATCAATGTTAGTATAAAAATATACATTCACCTTTAAGAGGACTATAATGTACTGTCACAGTATAAATAATAGTACTTTAATAATAGAATAGAATCACTATTCAATATAGATAGACAACAAAAATACTTAATAAGCTTTACACTGGTAAATACTTGCTATTCGCCGATAGATGGCGCTACTGACACAATTTTTGCTATGTTAACAAATTATGTAAATTGTTGTTGAGTGTTATCTAAGATAAATATTATCAATATATATATATATATATATATATATATATATATATATATATATATATATATATGATAATATTTATCTTACTCTCTCTCTACTCTCTACTTTAGCTACCACGTAGTCTAGTGGTTAAAATGGTGAATACATATTTTAAGGAATAGGATCGTATCCCAGAATGACTTATGCCTGTCCTTTAACATTTGTTGTTCGAGGATAAAATGTAGATGTCTATGGGCCGCAGCATCCACTTACTGGTGTGTTCGTTTGGCCATTTTCTATAAAAAATAATTGTACAAAACGCAAATCGTTGATTTTTTTGTGTCGTCGTCCCCATTGTCCTTGAGATCGCATTCAAGCTGATAACAGAAAAATATACCCATAGCGCATAGTACAAGTTTGTGTGTTACTTACTACCAAAGGGTGCCCCCTTTGGTAGTAAGCACACTTGTGCAAAAATAAAAATAATATGTTCTGAACAGTTGATTTGAGGAAGATAATGATGCGAAATACGATGCGAAATATGAAACAGCAAATTAAAAAAATATTTATATAATAATTTGAGAATTAAAATCGTAACATAAAGTAGCTTATCGAGTATAGATTTTCTTAAATTATATCTCTTTCAAAAAGTGGCCGGTTTTGAAATTATAACTTCATTTTATACAATACTAATGTGAGCACGAAAATGTAAATTGAATTGCATTACTCTTTATTTTTGCCTCAGTCCTGATTAAATTAGGCTCAACTCTCTAACTGCCTTTCACTACTTTCTCTTCATTTTTCTTAATTTAATGATTATCGTATTTTTTACAAATTAACATAAAATTTACAGAATTATACCTTATGTTGTGAATACATACCTACTCTATTTGTACACACTACTGTCTACACTTACTACCTATTTCTTTTCGAAAACATTCTTATATAATTAAGTGTTACCTTCCTGTTTTATGTCCAATTCTTTATTATTTTAATTTAAATTAGACTACAACGAACATTCGGCTAATTAGTTCGGTATTAGCCCCATTCGGCTACTTTTATCCTATTGAGACGTTCAACGAATATGTACTAAGTAGTTATTCAGCTGAATACCGAATACTTAGTAAAATGTTTTGTTGTAGTCACATTATTGGTAAAAATGAAAATATTAATTTATTTTATAATTATGAATTTTTCTTGTAATCAATAAACTAATCATAGGTACATAATCAACTTCCTTATTATAAAAAATAACAAAAACCCTCGAATAAATGACACTCAAAGCACTTATGTAATCGTAATTAAAATTTAGAAATAAAAGATTATGGTGCAGAGGCATTTTTCTGCATTTTCAAGCAGTAGCTTACTCCTTTTCTACTCTTAGACAATACGGCTTCATAGAAAAGTCGGTCTGAATAAAGAATACTTCCTTCCAGACCGACTGCTTTTGCCTAAAATTTCATATTCTCTTATTTTATAATCGGTATTCGGCACGTGGACGAATGTACTATTCGTTGCAAGTCTCATTTAAATGGGGTATCAACAATGTATTATGTACTTGCGACCTAATGATTTCTTATATAATTACACGAACACTACATGTTGATTAAAACTACTTTTACGGATTTTATCGCTTTTAATTTACATGATTTTTAGTTTCCGACGTTTCGAGTGCTTTCCAGCACCCGTGGTCACGGGGGACTGAGGTGACTGACGTCCCAATGTCTATGTTAACCGGGAGTACCTTCAGCTTTTTAATTATTACTTATGGTCCGATCTGCGCAAAATGAACTTACTGTGTCTAGAAGTCATGAAGTTGATTTGTTTGGGCTTAGTTTTAATTTTATTAATTACAGAATCCCAAGCAGGTGGTAGTACCCAGTCTCATTCTCTATTGAAATTCGGAGGTTTTTTAGTTTCAATAGCCTTACGTATCATCCTTAGTAGGAATCGATGTTCTTTCGCGAGGATTTGTGGTCTATCAAATCTGTTGTAATGGTGGGAACCGGATAGGATATGATTACAAATTGCAGACTTCCCATAACATTGGTGCTTTACGTCGGCTATATGTTCTTTTACGCGGGTTCTAATTGATCATTTTGTTTGCCTTATATATGAGCAACCACATTCACAATCACTCTTGTACACTCCTGCATCTTGTAGAGACAAAATGTTAAGGTCACCATATTAAAAACGAAATACTACATTTCCTAACCATTATTATTACGTTACTACAAAGATTTATATTCGGTATTTCAAACAAAATCAACAAAAGTTTTGGAGCACTGAACAAGAAGGTTAAATCGCCGGCACATTTCCACGTTAAAATAAAATGTAAAAATTAACTTTCATGTAGCCGTAACGAAAACTATCCTGTCAACTTGTTATTATTTCATCCAAAAAAAAAATGGCATATCTCGAAAAACGTTCCGTTGTCCATATTAATCGTAATTTTGTACCTGAACATCGCTGATGGTAAAGTCAACTTCCATTGGCAAAGTTGCCAGACTTGACTGTAGTCAAATAAAAATAAAGGCCTCCAGACCAAAATTCAGTTACGGCGACCTGCCTCAACGAAAACTAGACACCTGTGCAAAATGTGATGATAGCGCTCGAGTGTAAGGGGCCTACGGAATTACGTGCTTTCCCATGCACGGAGGTGAACCACTGCCAACTTCCTGATCTCGGGCTGCTACTCAAAATTTCGTGACAAAAAAACCTAATAACTGATTTTGGTCCGACTCGGGATTTGAACCCCATGATTAGCAGTCGCGCTTACAACCACTAGACGAACGAGGCGGTCAAGGTCAACATTACATGGGTATTATAAATATGTGATCAACATTACATAGGTATTATAAATATGTGATCAACATTACATTGTCAACAACTCCCTTATACAACGTGTAAGAATACTGATTCCGATAACGCACTTAAGAGGATAGAGTAAGTCAGCTCAAATTCTAATTTCGCCCCCACTTCCTCGCGCGTCGTATGCTATGTACCGATATGTTTGTAATCACTAATACTGTAAGTAGAAAGGTCGTTAGACACTTATTTCATTAGGTTTATCATATTTATGCCTGTTTCTTAACGCCAAGCCAGTCGCTTCTTATTTTTATAACGGTTATTTCCCATTTTAATTTTACGTCGTACTGTTGCGTAATGTATATTCTGATCGTAAGCGACACAACTTCTCCCTTCAAAAGCCTAAGCGATACTAACGGTGCGACAGGAATCAAGCTCAAGACGCCGATAGTTTAGGTAATTTCTTTTTACAGTGAAAATAATGGTATTTAAAAAAAAGTAAATAACATAAGCACTGCTTTATAGTTAGTTCAGTTAGTATGCAAAGTTTCATGATCTTATTTAAAGTATTTTATGAATAACAGCGGTTTATTGTTTATTTTGGAGGTAACTTTGGATTTTTTGAAAATTTTACGAAATCGTGTTTTCGTCTAACATAATCATTAACATTAATCCTCAACTTTACCATATATTTATTTCAAAATTAATGGTGCAATATTTTCGGCACAACGAAGGATCTTGCTAAGCCATTTGACATTATATTTCCCCTTAACCGGAACCACAGGGTTTTTGTTACATGTTGTAGATATTTCTATGAATTAACTCAGGTAAGGAAAAGTTGTAATTATAATTCCAGGAAATTATACATTCGTACGCGTTTTATATTTGATAAAAACTTAAATAAGTGGCGTTTTACATCGACTTCGATTACGTTATACTGAGAGATAAGTTCTGATGGCAA